GTGGAGTAATATCTTGGAGTTATCATAGGAGTAACGGAATAGGCTTTAAATATCAATTACGCAACTGCGCTAACTGGAGGGAACGTTAACAAGTTTTGTGGTGGCAATTACATGACAGTACACATACCATTATTAATGGTGTCTCTCTATCTTGCGTTCACGTCTCTCTAAGAGAAGGAGGCCGAGCCGGGATTCTATTCGTCTATTGCATAACAAAAAGAAAAGCAGACTTCGTAGTCGCGACGGGAGCTGGTGGAGAACAAGAGTAGGAGAGGAAAATAGGACAATAAGAAAAAACGGGGTCCCGATTCGCGGAAAGCTGAATTTTGTAAGGCGATACTTGCCCCATGCTCGACGACAATGTATACCATTATTGTGTGCGTGTTTATGTTATGCTCACTAAACAGTCTCAAGAAACAATTCGCGGTGGACGAATCGCGCGGCAATTGCAAAAATAATAAATACTATATAGTAGCATTGTGTGAGCGTGTGACTGCACCAAGTACACGAAGTGTTCCGACATGGTAAACAGGGAGTTAGAGAAAGACTAAACATAGGAAGCCGATAAAGTGTTGAGCGTACGCAAGAAACGCACTGTTGACATTTACATTTCGCATAATAATAACGATCGATTGTGTATGTTAAAACAGTCAAATCTATGGCACGTCGCGTGTAATATTATTAAGCTTTAGAAAACAGGAAATAGTTTAGTAGTTTAAGCATCAACTTTCAATTGGATTACCCCAACTGTTTTATTAACTAAACTATTTTTATAACCATAATTGTCAAAGAGAAATTTATAGCTGTTATTTTTTTTTAAATTTATTACGATCGGTAACTGAACATAACCGATTCGGTAGAAGACGTCTAACTCAAGCTGTAACTGTTGATTAAAGTTCAACTCGTATGTAATAAATATATAAACAAAGCTGTTATCTTAATAAATGAATGAATTAATAATCGTAAAATAATAAGAGCAACAAATTTGTATATACACGTGTCGTGTTATTATCAAATGAAAACGAAGTTACACAAAAGTGAATTGGACTTAAGCCAACTAGATATGTATATTACATCACGAGAAAGATGATTCATACGCTTGATTGTCTCTTTATTATTTCTTAAGAATAATGCGTCCTTAACGCACAAGTTTCAAAGCAACGGCAAGTTAAAATTAAAATCTTATTAAAACAATAAAAGTCTAATTAAAATTAATGAGTTAACTTTCTCGCATTTTCAAAAGAACTCGCGTTCGCAATAAAACATAAACATACACTTTAATTAAAGTCAATTTATGCGAGATTCAAGATTTAGATGAAACTAATTTGCAACGCTTTTCACTTTCTCGCTCACACATTTTACCCTATAGCTCTCTCTCTCTCTCTCTTCTTTTCTGCGTATGAATGTGTGTGTTGCGTTTATTTTTCGATTTCGTATATTTACCGAAGGCTATAATCAAGTTATCATCATTGAAAAAAAAAGGAATCACGTTAACCTACGCGACTCGTTATGTGGATGTAACTAAGTCTGGATATTGCAAAATAATAAAAGTATGGTATTAAAAATAAGGAAAGCCGTGTTGAAAAACGTTTAAAGTTTACGGTTAGACAAGTAAAGTAGCGGGAAAGGCTACTGGAATACATCAATCTTCACCTAATCCAAAATTATCATTCAGCTTAAAATTATCATTTAGCTATGGAATTTGTGAATAAAAAAAAATTTGATATTGACGAAGGCAAATGAAGATCAGTCCTAAAAGATGATCATATGATGGGTTTTTGCATGAGATCAATTATGTAGCACTGGGCGAGAAGAGCAAAGGTTGCAGGCAGCAGCATTTATCTGCAGCCTCATCGGTATACAAATCGAGGTGTGCGCGAGGTTTGCCCTCGTTTTCCATCCAGATTGATTATGACCATCCATCGGCGAATGAATATTCCGACAACAACAAAAATAAAACGAACAGGCTTCAAAAACTCGCACACTATTCACTTGAAGATGAGGAAAAACTCTAAGACGTGCACAAAACGAAGACTCGAATCTAGTCTCTTTCTTCATGCTTTAATATGCTTTTTCAAGAAAAGACATCTAGATGCCTTTATCACGTAGCAATGGCAAAAAAAATAACTTCATAAATATATGGAGTTATGAGGAGAATTTAGAACGGAACATCAATAAAATAAACGCCACACAGATATTAAAATAAACAAAAATATAACCGTTAATTAATTCAGCGATTTTTTGATTAATTTGTAAATTGAATTACATAAATACGCGTTTGTCTATTGGGCGGGAAAATAATGATGCGAACTTGAATGAGTCTCGCGCCTGAAACGGCTTTTCCATATAAAGGGCTTTACGCGCAAACAAACACGTTTTCCATCGATTTTCCATCATACTTCGGAGTAAATAACCTACATTCAATGCACACCGACTGATCTGAAGATGAATTCTATCGGATCATTAATTCCGTAATTTTTCGAATTAATAAATCACAACTCGATTTAAAGCAAATAGCTGCAATTACTTATTTAAAAAAAATAACAAATTAATGGAATATCAGATTAAATAAAATCTATTTATTGAATTACTATGAAAACATTATAGGAAATTCAGATAGAGTTAAATATTAGATATCGTGTGTTTTTAAAAACATTCTGGGTTTATAATATAACACTAATATATACAAAGTTATAAAATGTAGTAGAACCTAAGATTTATAATGATTTTGCTTAGAAAATACTGATTATTGAAAAGGTCGTTGTTAAACTTGAGACTTACCAACAATTGTATACAAAAAAAATGTAACTAAAATATAATAATACTAATTTACAAGTTACTTTACTTTGTAAAAAAAAAATATTAATAATATACAACGTTAAACAAAATTCTACAATTAGTTACATAACACGCGCAGCAAATAATAGTAGAAATAAAAAGTTTTACATAAAATATCGTGTTTCGGAATTCATTAAAATTAGCATTAATGCGTGACTTAAGTCACGTTTAGAGGAAACTCCGCAAAGTTTCCAGGAAATTTACTTGCAACTAGCAGAAACATGATAAATCCTCGCCGATTTTCTATCACAAAAGAAATGCAAAGAATTGAATTTATTACGACAATTTTTGTCCGCGAGTTACGAAATTACTGTTTTCGTTGCACGCACGTAAACTCACACCATCTTTCGGTATTGACAAAAAAATGTATCTTGCATATTGTCTGGTAATTCGAGCCGGCGGTGTCAAACGTCGACCTCAACAAATCTGAAGAAAACAAATGTATGTGGAAGAAACATTCGTATCCAAGAGTGAGATGAGAATACGCACATAAGCATGTATGTAAAATATTTGAAATTTGCATATTCAATAAAGTTAAATATATTTGCAATTATCGAGCAGCGGTTTGCAACACTTAATGGCTTTCCATATACATTTATAAACCAGTTCTGTGTCGATTTTACCGATATGTATATGCAGAAAAACCATGGTAAGGAAACGCTCAGCAGAAATTCGTGTATTACAGTACGCAACAGATATGATTACTACAATCAATCGAATTGCACAGACACGCGTTTATAATATTCTTCTCACTGTTCATCTCCAAGGACTCCTGTTTCGAAGCCCAAATCGATGAGGAATCCAGTCAACTTACAATGGAATTTCACAAAACAAGTTCTCAATATTATTCATCTAGCAAAGGCTAACTTAATTAGTGATTACCTATGTTAAGTTAGCTTAAGCTGAACCTTCAGCGTTCATCGCACTGATCTCATTTCAAATCCAAGGTCACAATTGTATCTTACACATATACTGAATCATATTTAGTCTTGCAGCAGGATTAACGATACGCACGTTGGGGTTTTCTTTTCGCAAACGTTCGAATTTCGCCTTTTTGCTATTACACATTAGTAAAATTAGCTACACGTGTTATCACGCCATTATCAGTCGTTGACACAGACACACTCAATCTGTTTACGCCGAAAAAGTCGTGCACGAGACTGAAAAAAAATCTCGAGATCCAAACAAATGCAATTTGCGCAAAATTACACAGGAGACTTTATCTTATCTCTCTAAATTTCAGTAAATTTTCCGCATCGAATTCAATAGTTTTAATAAAATTACTCCCGTATTATGTAAAATTTTCAGAAACAATACTTGAAATATTAACTCCGATCATCTGATAACAAAATAAAACTATATTATTTTAATAAATACAAAATTTTAAAAACTAAAAGCTAAATGACATCTTCAGACAACTTAACTCTAGTTAATACAATATAATTCATGTAAGCAAACATAATTCACTTTACGGCTGTTATATTACTTAAATATGACAGAAATTGCAAATAATTTATGTAAATAATCTGAAAAATAGTTCATTGAAATTAATTGAATATCTATGGAAGTTTGAATATTTAATGTAAAAAATATCAACAACATTTTGTATTTTAAATTGTAAAATCGTTAACAAATCTCTTTGAAAAACTACAATTAAAATATGATTTTAACTAAAAAAAAATACGTAGTTAAAAGTTTGAGTATTCAATAAAAATCATTTTAAATTAATATCAAAAAAAAAGTCAAACAAAAAATAATATTATTTCACAATAAAATTATTCGTTTAATTGGTTTGACGGCAAGTAAACTAATTAAACTCACAATTTAAATGTAAATTATAAGCGAAAATAATTAATACATTCAATAAGTAATCAATTGAAGAGCAATTTTCTTTTGACGCTAATTTTCTAATAAATATTTATGTTATTAATACAAAATAATCGTTTAAAGACTATTATTGATTTTATGTCAAACAACTTAGTAAAATATTGTAAATTTAAATTACTTAATTAAGAATTTCTTGTTTCTAATACATATTAAATGACAAATGTACAACAGATAAATTCATTAAAACCTGTTACTAATAATTCAATCAATAAATTTGAAAGACTAGAACAATAAATAACAAAAAACAAAAATAAGTAATATATTAATGAACTTACCAACGAATGGAGAAGTGGAGGATTCTATAAAAATAATGTTCAAGCTTAGCTCAATGAAGAAAACAAAAACGTGCGTTAAGTGTGGAATGGCTTTAAAAGTTCAAATGAAAATCAAGTGAGTGAAGTGATTATTAAGTATGAGGGAACAATCTTAAAATACAAATACAATTGAGTTTGTAAAATGAGGATATTTATTGTTATTGAATATTTATAGTAAACAGTGCCGGAACTTCAAACCTTTGTCTCCATTGCAAAATATTATTCGGGTTTTTTTTTTTATAGTAAAGGTAGCTGTCGTTTTATACCGCAGTTCCGTTTTTACAAATGCCGTCGCAAATCGAATCGACGTAAAATGAACCCATATTTACATTAAGGACACTATAGGGTTTAGTGTAAAATCAGCAATTAATAAGCGTTATTTCAAGGCGACGTTATTGTGAATCGGTGTAAATCGAACCGGCGTAAAACGACGTTTACCTGTATAGAGCTTCTCGGACAAATTTGATGGTATCAAGCAAATTTTTATTTGAACAATTACACAAATTGGTTACGTGGGGGGTAGTGGAGAGTCGGTTCTTGTAGAATCACATTAAGAAAGTCGTGGGCCCTAGATACTAGTTAGTTTTACTGCATATTTTTTTATTTAGGCCCCTTCAACCCTACCACTCATTATAATTCCGTCCATGATAGACGGGATACGCGTTTCTCTTCCAATTGCAAAAGGTCAATCTAGTCTCATTCGAATGTGAGACAGAAGACACGCGAGAGAGAGGGAGAAGGCAATTTTTCACTAATAAATCGTTCGGAAACATGCATTTAACGCCCATTACGCGAGACGTTTACAGCAAACTACAAATGAACAAGTATCAATCATTTACGGACACACCGTTTGACTATATTTCAAAAAATTATAAAATAAATTATTAGTACATACAATATTTGCATTTTGAAGAATGCTCAGAGTAAATTTACTTATTATAAATTTATACATAGCTGGTAAACATTAACTCACAAATCCAATTACTATCTCTGGATTAAATTGCTTAACTTTCGTAAACTCAATATTATTCATTAAATTACTTAACGAAAAGTTATAAATTGCACATAATAACATTTTTTATGATTGGTATAAAATTTTATTTGAATATAATTAAATTAATAACTAAATAACTATAGTATTTAGTAAAACTATCAATTCAAAATATCAATAAAAAAAACGTGGTAATTACACGTGCTTTGAAACGTAGTACTTAGAAATCAGTCCAAATGTGATTGAAATAATTTGCAGGAAGTTAAATACTAATAAAAAAAAGCAAAATCATTCAGTCTGAAAAACAATCGAGTGCATTTACATGTATACTACATGTGTTGATAAAAAAAATCTAGGAAAACCAGTTTTTTTTTTCGCATGATTCCTCTTTCAATTATAATACAATCAAATTGGATATGATATAAAACAGTAAAACATCGAAGTGTCTAAACTGCGGTGTAATTGTTGAATTGCATCACTTTTCAACGCTTCGAATATGGTTTTTCAGTGTATAATAATAGCGTCGAGCGGAGAGAAAGTCGCGGATTATTAAAGAGCATAAGACCGTACGGAAAAGGTATCACCTGCAAACAATCAAGAAGAAGAAAAAATGCAACATTTCTGGATTGAGAGTTTAAAGCGATCCCATTCAAATCATATTCACAATTTGAACTATATATATATAGAGCAAGCTATACTTTTAGTAAAAAGTAAATATTTACTTGCATAACTGTATTACGTCATTAAGTCTAATTAAACACAATGTTAATGATTATATGCTTTACACCAATTTACAAATTTAAGTAAAATTGTAACGCTTTAAATCTTTTTATCATTAATTATTATTAAATAACTATTAAACATTATCTTAATTTATTGATAAATATTAATAATTATTTATATTCATCAAACATGTTTATATTTTATAAATTTTATACATGTTTAATTGCAAATTATTATAAAAAACTATATATTTTTTTCAAATTTAACTAACAATTAATCTGTTTGATTTTAAAAGTTTTAATTTCAGTTACTTTTATTATAATTTCCATACATTTTCTGTAATTCCAGCCGGTTTTTTGTTACAAAGTTATTAATGAGTTTAAACCGAATCACAATGATGATATAATTTCTTGTGATGATTTTAATACACTTCTATACTCAAATTAAATATATATATATATATCACATTTTGCAAACATTCTGCATCTGCAATCAAAATCAAATATTTAAAAAGTTCAAAGGCTTATAGATTATTTAGCAACAAAATCGTTTAGGATGTTTAGTTATATTTGCTACTACAGGGTGGACCAATTGAACTGCAACTTTTCAGAACCCTATATTTTTTATTTGTAATTGGATTTTATTGAACCAAAAGCAAAAAAAGTTTGGAAAAACAATTACATTTTTCAAATCTTCCTCCAATCAAGAAGAAGGGCTTTCTTGAGCACATTAATTCTTTGGTATTTCTAGTGCTGACATTAGCTTGTAAAATGCCCTATACTGAGAAGATTGGATTCCACTGTGCGGTCAAAATTTACGTTTGACCTCTCTTCTCTCTCTTCTAATCATTTTGTTTGTTTACGAATTTATCAATTTCGAAATTTTTCTCATCAGACCAGACGATATTTGGCAATTGGCCACGTTGGTGCAAATGCTACAGCTCCTTTGCTTAATTAAGCCTAGGTAATGCTTGTTTTTAACATCGGTGTGATCTTGTTCTTTTTGGAACTTTAAATTTGAAGCCCTACATCAAATTTAAAGTTCGTTTTTGAGTATTCGTTGTATGGTTATTTTCGATATATTCAATTGAGTAGGCATTTGTCTTCCACTGCATCGCGGATTTCATTCAATTCGACCCTTAACTTTCCGAACCATTTCTGCCAAAGATGTAGTTTTTTTTTTCAGATCACCAAAATAGAATTTTGTAATACTTACTCTTTATAACGTGTTATGTTTCAAGAAAGATTTGAGGAGTTCGATGGCTCTAACAATAGCTACTTTTGATTTTTTTTCCCAAAAAACAGAGATGTAAATGCTGCATCAGACTTGTAAACAATCAGCTATTATTAGGCGAAATATGGATGCAGAAATGCCAACGGTTTGAAAGTAATAGCAATTTTAAGTTGGTTCCAGTTCAATTGGGCCACCCTGTACTTACGATAATTTTATGTATTGATAATAATCCAAGTAATTAACCTTTCTACTCCCAAACGGCTTGATTTTGAATTACGTATAGTGTGTGTGTATGTGAGACAAATGTAATTACAAATCGATGTTGACGATAATTAAGTATATTCGTTTAAGAAATAATTATACAGTCAAACAATATATGTTGCTAATAGCAGCAATTAGAAAACAGCATTACACAAAATTAACAATTAAAGTTGTGTACTATAAGTTATGTTGAGTCACATTAGTCTGAATGAATCTGTCAGCTATTAACAACAACAACAACAGTACCGTTGACTAGAAATTCGTGGTTCGTTTGAAGGCACACGTAAAAAGGAGCCGCAAAAAAAAATGAGCTAGACGCGAAGCTAAATCTAATTAAAACAAATGATGCAAGGCCTTTTAATAAATGCAATTTTCGGACTCGTACAAAATAAGCGCATTAAAATTTATCATTTTGCGAATGTAATTGCATTCTAAATAAAAACACGTGCACCGAGCTCCATAAAATTTGTTGTTATTTACTCATCGCAAACAGGCAAACTGCTTAAACTTAAAAAAAATCTAAGTCAACTTAGATTAGATTGTGTTAAGTTGAGTCCAGATATACGTAGAATGAATACGCGATGCACGTGTCTGCCCTGACCTAACTTAAAATCGTATCTGTTTGTTTTTTTTTTAATAAGTATAACCAGTTTCCAACGCGCTGTTCAAATCGTCCCCTTCAACCGTACCCAAAGTGGAATTGTTAATTAAAGATGCAAACGATGGGGGGAAACGCACGTTGAAAGAGAGAGAGAGAGAAGGAGAGTCTCGTCATGCATTATAATTTATAGACGGGCAACGTCCAAAGCTACGCGAAACTGAATGAACTGATCAATCAATATCGAAAGACGAATCCAAGGAATCCACACAAAAAAATACATTCCAACTGAGGCTGCACCACCTAACATTAGGCGCAGATCTTCATCTCTGAATATATGAATAATTTATTCGAGTTCGCGAATTTCAAGCAAAAGGAAATTGGTATTTGGAAAATGGAAAATGGAAAAAATATAAATACGCGACGAGATAGCGAAATTGACCTTGCTGACTCGCTTCTATTTATGTCCTAATCGATACTTGTCAAAATGCCCACAGATTTTTAGGATTGAAAATAGTCAGATTTTACCACAAACTATGCACCCGAGGGAAGACACGGAAAGAAAATAACAAGCATTACCTGCAACTAATTTTACCCCTGCAACATTTAAACGTCGTACAAATTCTCAAAGAGTTCAATCTCGTTCTTTCACTATTATTTCAGCGTTTCTTTGGTGTATGATACACATCACAAACACGCACAAGAAGCTAATACCGATTGCTTCTTTAAACAAAAACAAATCTTCTATTCAAAATAAATTCCCACGGTTTCTGGAAAGTACACTACTGACACTGTCAATTTCAAATGTCAAACAAATCTGATATAATGATTTTAACTACAATGATACAAAAACTTAGACCAGTCAGCAATTTGTATCTTTAATTATTACGTGAACTATAAATAAAATTAAATTGGTAATATTTTCTGAAAATAGTAGAGTAGGAATAAAATGCATTAATTGTTATAAATTCCATGTAGTGATACTTACAATTAGTTTAAAAAAGAAAAAACGAAGTACCGAAAACCAAAAATTTAAAAGATATAATCAATATAAAATTTCAAAATTTTGGTAATATCATTTCAACGTTAGACTTAAAATAGTAGAAAAGCTTACAACAAGTAAATTAAAATATTAGAGTAATCATGAAATTGTATTGTTACCTTCTAGATTTATTAAATTTGTGATCATGGTTGAAACTTACGAAAGTTAATCAATGTTTTTTGTAGATAGTGCTTGGATGGGTAATAATGTGCTAAAATTAGAAGCGGAAAGATTTTCAACAATAATATACACTCATAATTGTAGTTTTTCCTCGATAAACTATGATAAATAGACTAAGAGTATTTATATACCTTTATTTAATTATAAATTAAAGTGACGATTAGAATACATTTTTAAAGACTTAAATATCACACATTATAAGAATGTCTTCAATAGGGAAAGCTTGAAACAAGTATTGATGTAGAGCAATCTTTTGTAATTGTTTGAAACGAGAATACCAGTTGCAATGCAAATAGGTGCGACCAATTTACATCTTAGACTAATTGTAATGAATCGACGAAGTTTCCTTTTTTTAATACCTCTAGGCACTTTGTAATTATTATAATAACTGTCATAAAACTAAATATATTTTTATACGGTTGCCAAGGAAATGAATTGCATTTTTTTGTTCAACAAAAAATATATGTAATTCATTCAGTCTACGTCCATTTTAGTATTATCGAAACATATGTACTATTTTCCAATTTAAAATCTATTGAATTATATAATATAATGGTTTAAGGCGTGAGGAGTTTGCAATGATATCATTGGTGTTAATCCCGATTATCTGCTAAGTAATAACCTTAATATATTTTGTAGCTTATTAAGATTAACCTCATTGAGAAACTGATATAATTATAATATTTAAAACACAGTATAAATAACAATTAATTATATAAAGAAACTTTTCAAATATTAAATATTTCAATGAAAAATCACTCCGAAAATTTAAAAAATGCATCATCATTCTAAATCGATACATCTATTTTTTTTTCAAACAATTATCTGTGAAATTTATTACCTGATTATTTTTAATTATGCACAAAGTCACTTTTTTATTGCGAATTGACGTTGTTTTTACATTAGTGACCGCATGCAATTATCATTAAATTCTATGGTAATGTTGTATTATTTCACATATGCGAATTTCTACATAGATCACAAACGAAAAATTATTTATTTACATTATTTCACAATTAATAATTTAAATTAATTAATTAATAATAATAATCAAATTTAGAATACAACGCTAGAAAAAATATTATACTTTAAATTATATACTTGTTTGTAAGTGTTACAATTTCTCTTTAATCATTTTTATTGAATTAAAAACAGAGAAAGGATTGCAGTTTAGTGGAATTACCAATTATGTCTTTCATTAAATAAATTGTTAATTTATTTGTATTTCCTTTTTATTATAATTTTATATACATGTTAATTGGATTATCTGTTATAGGAAAATCATCCAACAAATTGAGAAACTTGACGACTTGGCGAAACTTGAAGAGACTAATGTATGTATGTACGTTATACAAAAAAATTTTAGAAGCAAAAAAAAGTGTCTTTTTACTATGAATATAAACATGCGTTTCAAATAAATCAATTTATGTTTAAATATGTAATAGCTTTACTACATTTTCGTTTCCTGGAAAACAACAGTATTCATTCATAATAATACAGAAAAATATATTACAAATTTGTTTTCTTTCATACATATTTCATATTATTATATATGGTGTAGATCTCTAATTTATTGATTAATGGTTTATGCATTTATCTATCCAGTTTCTCGTTTCAATCAATTTTGTTGTCATAATTTAGCTCTTATGAAACTTGTTATTAATAAATTAGTAGTTTTTCACTTAATGTATAATTAATAAATATATACTTAACATTTCTATTCAGAAACGTCTAACGACATTATTAGTTTAGTATAACTTTATATATTACTATGGTTATTTTAAACTGTGTTTTTTTTTATAATTTATATATTTTCTTAATCAAAAATTAGACGCAATACAATTGATGTTTTATTACTAATTAGGTTAAGGGAATTGAAGAAAATAAACCGAAATTAAAGTATTATAACAAATGGATGTTAGATGTAAGATTATTAATATTATACACATTTGTGTATATATGATTTTATGGAAATATTTATCTTAATTTCAAAGTATTGAAGTCTTCTACCCAATTAATTTAGTCTTATTAGTTTGTATGTCTGATAAAATATACATTTACATACAGTTTTTATTCAAATACTTATTAGATCGTTTTGAAAATAGAAAATAATAATGTGCATTAGAAATTTCTGTTTAGTTTACATTACTTTTAGAAGCAGGCATACAATATTTATTATGATTTGCTATTGGAATTGATGAATTAATGATTTTGTTTGATTCTTAGGGTAAAATTTGATTTGTAAGATTTTTGGAATGGGAATGAATTTGTTTTAGCTCCGATTGAGATTGGTATAGTAGACTTACCGACTGTTCCGACGGAAACTGTTGTTGTAGAAGGAATGGCATCGATTTGGTTGATTTTCTTGACGACGCCGGCTGTCGTCGAACATTGGGATGACGCTGAGGAGTCACAGTCCAGACTTCGCTCTACGTTATGGATGGGCGAAGGACTCTTCAGAGCTGAAATGGGCCCGGTGGTCTTGAACATCGCCTCGTCCTGGGCTTGAGCCCTACGGAGTGCCGTCTGCATGGCCATCACTCGTTGCCTCTCGGAGGTGAGCCGGCACTTCTCGCACTTGCAGGAGCGGTACTTGCAGTACCTCTTGTGGCCCTTCAGGGCGATCTTCATACGATGATTTCGGCAGCGGGCGCAATTCGGTGGCGTCCGCGGCGTCGCCGAGGTGCTAGACGCGTTCACGTCCATCTTCGTCTCGTACTCCTGGGTATCCGACATCGTATCTATCGGAAAGATGTGCTCCTCGCGTGCCACGTGCAGCGTATCACTACTGTTCCTGCTGGTTTTGTTTTCGTACTCTATTCAGCGATACCGAACAAGCAGAGCGAGGAGGACAGGGCGATAGAGAAAAAGAGCGTGCGAGAGGGAGAATGTACGTGTCGGAGGAGAGGGTCTCTGCGGCGCGCAACAGGTCCTGATGCTCTTCTCCTGGATTTGCTTTTCACCCGAAATTCACATATATGTTATGCATATACAACACCACTCACACCACTGGCAGTTTGCTCTTCGTGACCGGAAAACGGGCGGAAAATCGCGGCAACAGAACAGCCCCCGTGGGCCCAACGTGACGATGCACCAAGTGCTACTACTGCTCAGGCTGCAGCTCTTCGGTCCACCAGAAGAGCTCGATCTACGTAATTCTCTATATCTCACTCTATTATCTAACTGACTCTCTCTCTCTCTCTATAAGTATCTACACACCACAGAGGCTGTGGTGATGGAGATGATGATGATGCTGGAGCGGAGAGGAAAAGAGTCGTTCGTGTCCGTCCGTCGGGAGCGTGTTTCGCAAGCGATTTGGACTGCCAGTCTTGCAATGCCAAAGTGAAGTGAAGTTTTAGTGTGTGTGCAGGATTGCATCGGATCGCGGGGCAAAGGGTATATCATTTACGACTTTGGCAGTGGGGGAAATGCATGTGCGGACTGCAGTTTAGAGCCGTGTTTTATGTTGCTATAACTTCGGGAAGTGAGTTTTGACAGCACCTACGCTCTCTCTCCCTCTCACACACAAACACACACAAATCCCACTTCCCTATTTTTTATATATATATATATATTCTAATCCTTTCTTCCACCGCAACCGCTCAACCAACATCAATTCATTAATTAATAAAAACAAACACACATTTATTTAATTATTTCACAAAATTATTTACAATATCCTTATCAACACTCTGACAAACTTCTTCAACAAGTCAATCAATATTGTATATTCATTGATATATTACAAAGTGAGCAAAGCAACATACTCTGAAATTCCACATTGAAATCCTTAGTCTTTCCATATAAAAACGTCCAATGTTATTTGTTTCTAGTACTTTATATAGGTTTCCTTTATATATATATATATATATATAGGTGAAAAATATGAATACGTTAATTATTATTTTTTTATATTATTTTGTAGAATATTTGATTTAATACACAGAATTTATTGTTTACATACTTACAAAGGACTATTAGTTTTTTAAATAATTGTGAATATTCTAGCTTATTCATTGTTATTCTATTAATATACATACCATTTTTTTTTATAAATAGATGATATAATAGTCAATTACATAATTGTGAAATAAAATTAACTAACGAATGATGATAGAACATATTCATAGCAAATATTAAATAAAAAATAGTTAAGGA